TCACTTCGAAAGTTTCATATTTTTGCCGATTTGTCAAAAACGAGTGGACCAAAATATGAAGTGTGTTATATCATTGTAATCAGAATAAGATATTCTATCGAACACACATATATAATATACAGGGTGTTCCATTTGGAAAAATATAATGTAGGCTTATATGTCAAAAAGTTGATAGTGTTTTGTTTTATGTGTATCTGGAAAAAAAAACTTTGCTACTAACTCTACATTTTGTTTTTTTGTTTACCTAGATAACTTCAAAAACAAAAAAGTTACAGGTGATCAAAATGATATCAAAGATAAAAAAAAACCAACCATATTTGCAACTTATGTAACTTATTGCGGTTTCTGCCATATTGAAAATATGCATATTCGCATAACTAAATTTCACTTTAACCAAATGGCAGACGGGTTGAAAACGTTCATCATATAAACAATTTTTGTCGCAATTTTGTTCATTGTTTATTAGGACTTATACCAGTCTGCAATTTCTGCCAGTCAAAACTTAAGCTTTTGGTAGCAACTTATTTGATATAAATAAATGGCAGACGGGAAATAATTGATCTCAAATTTGAAAAATTTTGACATTTCGAAAAATTAAAAATAAATATTTGTACCACTTCAATTTTTCTGCCGGTGCAATAGCTATTTATATAACAAGTACATAAAGTAAGGCTTTATTGTACGAATAATTTTATGGCCGAGCGAGCTTGCGAGCGAGGCTATTAAATAATGAGTCAATAAAGCCTGTTTATGTAAGCGTTATATACATGATTTTATGTACGATTGCGACTGGTTTCTGTTAAAAATTAAAAAATTTTAATGAAAAAAGTAAATTTCGCGTAGGTATACCTGTTTCACCTTGGCAGGTTGTCAAGACCTGTTTCACCTTGGCAGGTTGTCAGGACCTGTTTTAACTTGTAAGGTAGTCTAGGTAGGCAATAAAGTAGCACTTTATTTTACTAGTAAAATAAAGTAGCACTTTATTTTACTAGTACAATAAAGTGCTACTTTATTGACGCAAAACTGTTCTATAAATAGCACTTTATTGGTCAATTGGACATAAAGGTACATTATTTATCTAATATCCATTATAACAAAACATGTTTTAGGCGGGAGAAAATTGTTTCAACATCTCAGCATTTTGATACAACTTCAAAAATTATTAAATATTAATATACCAACCGAGATTTTCTGCCATTACTTATTGATGTATTACATCGTAAATGTAACATAAATTTAATTTGGCAGACGGGAGGTCGTTGATCCACATGTCCGATTTTGGCGACATGTTGAAACTAGTAATACGACACTTTATATTAACCTAGGGTTTCCGCCGTTTAGCTTCCTTCTACTCATTTTTGTTTAAATTACCTTCACAATGTGTGGCAGACGGGATAATATTGATCCAAATCTCCACTTTTCATTACATTTTCAAATTAGCATATCATTGTATTGTCACACGCGGGGCTTTTTGATATTTCGGCCATTTCACTTCTTATTGCATAAAGAATAACCACCCTTAATGGCAGACGGGAGAAAATCGTTTTAAAAAAATGGTCGTTATGCACCGGTCTATAAATGCGATTTATTTGTCTCTATTTACTGTACTATTTGTGACTATGTAATCAAGAAGGGCATAAACAGTTTGAATGTCAACAGAGAAGGCAAAATTATTATGAAGGAAACCAAAGTGGCTTTCGAGGTGGTCATTTCAGCAACCGAGGAGGGTACCTACTCTGGATACCGAGGTAGTAATTCTGGATACCGAGGTGGCTACTAAGGTAACAGAAGTGATAGAGGCAGTTTCAATTAGAATTTTCCTAATAGGGACAGACACAATGCTCAGAACACAGAAAATGTTGAAGATGAGGATAATGCTATATCTTTTTTAAGTACGTTGCAAGGAACCGATGACGATAGTCACAACAACCAATATGCAAATACATACGTCTAATGCAGAAATTGTGAAAATTGTTGTTGATAGTGGAGCAACAAATCATTTAGTAGGGCAAGATTTTTGCAAAAATATACTAAATGGAAGGAAAGTGTGTCAGAAGAAAAATGTTGCAAAACAGGGGGAGACATTAGTAGCCAAAGTAGAAGGTGATTCGTTTTTGAAAACCAATTCAGGTAAGCCCATAAAAATGAAATGTATGGGTTTGTGAAAATCAGCTATATAATTTGCTGAGTGTTAAAAAATTGGAACAGAGTGGACTGGAAGTAATATTCAAAGATGGAAAAGTAAGCGTATTGAAAAACTGTGTTGAATTATTTCAAGGAACTTTAAATGGAAACTTGTATGTTGCTAATTTTTATTGGAATCTTGAAGGACATAGTGTAATACCGAGTGCAATACTTACCAGAGACAATGACATGACAAATATGGGACATTTGTTTCAAGTGACATATGTGGTTCAATAAACCCTGCAACTTATGATGGTGAGCGATATTATATTTCATTTATTGATAATTATTTTCATTTTTGAATTTGCTATTTAATCAAAAATAAAAGTGAGGCTCCAGAAAAATTTAGAAATTATGTATCAATGGTTGAAGCAAAATTTAATATGAAAATTTGTAAATTAAGATGTGACAATGAAGAGAGTATACTTCTCGTGATGTTCAGGATTTTTGCAAAACAAAAGGAATATTAATTCAGTATAATGTTGCCTACAACCCTGATCAAAATGGGGTTGCTGAGAGCTTTAATCGTTCAATAATGGAAAAAGCTCGATGTTTAATGTTTATTCGCAGCTTGAAAAATATTTATGGGGTGAAGCTGTTTTAACATCAATATATTTAATTAATAGGACAATGACTAGAGCACTGAATGACAATAGAACTCCAGCTGAAATTTGGCATGGACAGAAGCCTGATTTTGAGGAAATTAAACTTTTTGGTTGTATAGCATATAATCTTATACCTTAAGAATTAACAATAGATATAGACTCTGGAATCCCAATCAAATCAAGGTTATTCATGGAAGGAATGTTGTTTCTGAAGAAACTAAAGAATTAAAATAACCAAAAGTTTATATAGATGATAATCCAGAACAACAGGAGAATTAAGAAGAGGAAGCTGAACAAGAAACAGATGGAAATAAAGTGGGAGAAAATTTGAGAAGAACAGAAAAAGTTGGAAAAGTGGAACAAACAAATGAAATACCAAACATAAGAAGTTCACGAAATAAACAACTATCAAGAAAGATTACTAGACTATGATCTTGAAAATGAAGAGTTCAATCTTTTTACAGCATTATCAACTGGAAACTTATCAGATGAAATGCCACAGACTTATGCAGATGCTGTAAGAATAGACGAAAGACACAAAAATGCTGTTAGCGAAGAACTTACAGTGTTGGATGAATGTAATACATGGGAACTAGTATTGCCACCTGAGAATGCCGAAATTGAAAAGTTAACGTAAAAGTTTAGATCTGTTGTTTGATTGTAATCAGGAAGCTGCGTGGAGTTGATTAAACTTGAGAAATTGTAATCAATTGTTTAACATTCTCATGCATTCAATACAATAATTGAACCAATGATTCCTTCCCCTGTGCTAGATTACCCCTGGCAGATCCTCGGAGTTGATTTATTCGTGGCCAACAACAAACATTAGCTGGTGGCAGTCGATTATTTCTCAAGATTTATAGAGGTTGCCAACTTAAATTCAGAAACTGCTGTAGATGTCATAACGAAACTGAAACCCATGTTGTCAGAGCCTTGTTTTTCTAGCCACATATTCAAACAATTTGCTCAGATAAATATATGGATTCAGTCACATCACAAGCAGTCCCAGGTATCCTCAATCGAATGGGTAGGCGTAATCTGCTGTAAAAATAGCCAAGAATATAATTCTAAAATGCAAAGACCCAAACTTAGGATTATTAAGTTATAGAACAGCAAAGCTAGACAGTGGATTTTCAGCAGCAGAACTGATCATGAAAAGAAAACCTAGGAATTCAATTCCAGCTCACAAAGACAGATTTATCCCTAAGTGGAACTACATAAACGACTTCAAGGAAGTCAGAAGCAACGAAAAAGAAGTTGAAACATTGAATTTTAATAAGCGACGTAGAGCAAGATCAAACTCTTCTTTGAAAAATAACGATAAAGTTTGAATACCCGATATGAAAATGTTTGGGAAAGTAATGGATGTTGGATCTGAACCTAAAACATACATTATCGCCTCAGAAAATAACGTCATCAGGCGAAACAGAAGCCAAGTTATAAAAGTAACCTCAGAAGCGATGATAAGACTAAAGCAAGGGACAGATACACGACTAGAGATCTCCAATTGGGAACTCCCCGAAAGTTGAAATGATGAGTCAAGCTCAGAATCAGAGGGTGACGATGGAGGGGATGATACGAACACAGAATACGGTTCAGCCGCATCACAAAGTAGTGGATCAGAAATTGAACTCAATAGCTCGAAAGTGACAATGACTCCAACCACTCCATAATATTTAAGCCAGGCTCCGAAGAGAAAATCGAAGTCTATAGTTCCACTCACCAGAAATACACCACCAAATCAGGAAGGCTAGTCAAGCCGGCACCTCGTTGCACCTGCAATGGAATGTGTGGTGAAGATTAATTGAAACAAAAGTGAGAATGAACATTGTACAGTGTATATAGTGAATTATTGTGTAGATTTATCCATAACATCAATATACCCAGTGTAAATAGGACAAACAATGGTTTAAGGCTAGTCGCATTGAATTCGAGTGCTAAGTTAAAAAGACACTCACTTGGTGAAAAGGGAGGATGTGGCATAGAGTACTTGAGCCGGCAACGCCGCTCGAGTGTCGGGATAGCAGCCCTCGACGCCGAGCCCAGCGTTGGATATCAGGTAAGCGTACCACAGGCTGCTACAGAACTCTCCCAGATGGGCAGGACAGAACGGATTGGGAGTAAAAATATTGCCTCTGAGTGCAAGCTCCACAGTTGTAGGGCAAACCCTTTAAAACCTAATCTAATCTAGTGGAAAGTTAAAAATCTTACCTGATATCATTTTATTTGAGTTTAAAGGTGTGCAGTTGTTTGTGGGGTGTAAGCTGTAGGTATTTTCCGGTTGACTTGAATCTGGAAATAAATCAAAAATATATAGTATTCGTACATTCACCTTCTACAATAATCTATCTACAATTCTTTCTTAAACCTGAAAATGCAATAATTTCATTTGATGTACCTATTTGATCTTTCAACTTTTGCAAAAGTCAAGAATTTATACACAGGGACGTAGCGAAGGCCTCTGGTTTTGGGGGGTGGGGGTGACATTCCTAATTTTCCCAACTTTATTAAAACATAAAAAAAACACATGTAGCGAATGAGTCGGAGTATAAAAAGGCTACACAAAAGATAAACGCGCATCTGTATTGACGTCACAAGGGTATCGGCGCTTGACAAGAGTAACCGCGCAAATACAATGACAGTTTTCACTTTGCAGGCAGACCCATAGTGTAGATAAAATGGCAACTGCTGCTTTTCAGTTTTTAGTTTTGTTCGCAAAACTTGTCGAATCTGCATGGCCTCAATTAATTTTCGAAACATTCAGAACACGCACTGCGACTCTACGAGAAAAAGTGCCACTGCGGCAAATACACTGCGTTCCGCAGGACCAAAACTGCGTCGTCACGCTGCGAAGTAACACGCGCATTACCTATTCTTACTTGGGCTCACAAAAACTCGCCGTGAGTCACGCTCTCTCACTTGGTTTGTGTCAATCGTTCGTCGGCTGTCATCATTCGCTGTCTTTCTCCGTCTCTCTACGTTATATCTTTCTTCTCTCTCGTCTCTCGTGTGCGAAAATTGCCAAAACGTGTTATTCCATTCTCGTCCAAATCAGACCGCCGCGTAAGAAGTTTCACTTCAGAAAAATCAAGTGTAGCATCGTACACGTGTTAAGAAGTGAAACTTTTTAAAAACTATTTCTTTAACTCAAGAACACCAGGATTCAGCGTTATGCTGAAATCTGAATAGCGAGCGAAGAATGCGCAGAACGCAGAAGGCAACATAATATTAGAAGTTTAGATTACCTAATATATCTACTATATAGCGCTAGTGGTGCTAATGCTACTACTGCCACAAGTGTTACGTGCCACTGCCACAGGCTAGTGGCGTTAGTGCAGTGCAAAGTGCAACGCAAGAAATTATCTGCGACCATTGGGATTTCGTCATTCTGTTGTCCTGTGATTTTGCAATTCATTACGACACGTGACACGATCCTTATGTTAATTTTAATTAGTCCTCGTGAATAAGGTGCGCAAATTTTTGTCTACCAATTTTTCCCAATTCTAAATTTTTTATCCTAGTTTTCCCAACTTTCGAAATATTTTAGGAACTTTGGGGGGGGGGGGGGCGCCACCCCCCCCAGCCCCCCCATGGCTCCGTCCCTGTTTATACATACATAATGCGGCCTTAGTCAGTCATTAATTCTCTGTTATTTTCTTGTCTTTGATTTATCAACTACTGCTGTAAAAGATTCTCAGAGTTTTTTTGTTTGATCTTACAACCTTTATACCTACCTATATCTACATTTTGAGCTTTTGAAATATTGTTTTCACTGTCCTTTTTTAATTTTTCTAAAGTAAAATAGTAATTTACCTTCTTCATTCTTAGAGTGTATTTCATATCAACACATTTCATTAGAAGACTTTCCTGAAAGTTAGACTAACTACCGAAACTGTAAAATTTTAAGCTCATATTATATTATTGGATTGGCAGAAACGTTAACTCTATAGCCCATGTTATTAATTATATAAGCTTTTTTTTGGTATTTCTGCACATTCACTTTTTCGAAAGTCAGTACAAAGCTTCCAACCAATCAAAAGTTGCAATCCCTGTGTAAAAAAAAACAAATAAACAAATTCTAACTCAAATCAAAACACCAAGTTGCTGCATACAGTTTTATAAAGTATATTTTAACAGAATATCTACATTATTATTTCACTCTTTCGATACCATTTCGGGTTAATCTCACAGTTCTTTTCAATTTCTTCTCCATTTGAGGCATCTCCTTGGACCAATAGGATGGATTATCCAAGTGGAGTGAAGGCGTTTTCCAAAAAATTAGATACGCAAGTCTGAACAAATTACTGGGATACTCGATAAAAATTTGTTTAATTAGGTTTTTCACGATTGATTGGCTTTCAATATTTGCCATTTTGTAATTTGAATTTAAAAAATGATATGTGGTTCAACGAAAAACCGGCGTGAAAAATTAAACATTTAAATTATTTGGAATTTGCATTCAATGAAATATTAACTTACAACGCTTATATCAACATAATAAAGTTATGTTTACAATACAGCGTAAAACTATCTTAACATTAAGTTGAAGGGGCATACTTAAATTCGGCTACGAACCAGGTAGCTGCAGTAATCCTACCCTTGAATTCGGCCAAACCATAAAACCCAACCTACTACCCATAAAACTTACCTTATGATGTTTACAGACTTCGCATTGCATATGAGTTAATACATCTAAAAACATGTAAATATATATTTTGATGCGCAAAATAAAAAGATCTACCAAAATGACTATGCAAAGATTCACAGGCATTTGTTATCTTATCCAGGTCTATCGAGGCATGTGCCCATATAAAAGGTGGAAATACCGATTCATCCTATATGTAATTGTCAATGAGATAATCTGAAAATTTAACTACAGCTTCGTAATACGGCTCGATAGCTAACAACTCAAAAACAAAGAAATCGCCAACTTCTTGACTCTCCAAAAACATCATTCCGGAAAAATAATGCAACGAATTATCGATTTCTGAATCTTTTTTTTATATTCAAGTTTTGGATCTGCCTTCACCATGCCTGAGCTTTCAGCTATTTATAAGAAGTAAATAAGTTGATTTTTTAGGTCTAAGATTTTTTACCTGTACCGATTTGCATATTGATACTGATGGCCGATGGGTCATAAAATAGCCACCTACCAGATAACCGATTTGGCCGAGTTCAACTATCGTAAAATTGTCACCCTTTCTCTTATTCCGAAACAGGTGAATTTTGTGGCCGAATTCAAGGATCCCGAGTTGAAGTGAACTAAATATTTGCGTTTAAAAGGTACAAATCCTCTTGAGGGTCCATTAGCTTTGTCGATGTTGAAAGCCGATATAAATTCAAAAAGCTTCGAAAAACCGCACTCTACTACATCTGTGATAAAACTGTTTTAAAATTCATAAAGATTATTTCGAATTTGGCAAATCGTATATTTTTCTTTGAAGGATGAAAGAAATATCGGTCGTCGTAGAATTCATTTACTAAAATCAATATAGATATCGGCCTGATGGTGTTATTACAGACTCGTCATTTTTATTATTAATATATCTGAAAGTTGAGTTCATATAAGCTTATCCTCACGAATTTGTTTATTTCCATATTACTATATTTGACTCGTGATAGTTAAAACTACATAAAGTAGAGCCCCATATTTCCAGATAATTAACTGCCTACTATGGAAATATTGATTAGATAAAAGATATGTCAGTTTCACCACGAATAAATACATATGAGCTACAATTTTTCATTGTTTTATTATATTTTATTTAGGTATTTATTTTGTGGATAACGCGTATCAAATACTGTATGAAAAACCATTGATATTTTATGTGCCTTAGTCCCACTTTGGCTACTTTGTAATTGATGCATCAAATCATCTACGGGAAGGTAACACCACGACTTATTCGACGCTTGGAAAACTTATATACGCAAGAAAAAGGTCCATTTTCTAGGCTCCCTTGCTTTTCTCCAAAGATGCAGACTCGAAAGTCGTTCCGAAATTCCTGAAGATTCGAAGAATTTTTGATTTCTTCCAATGTAACAGAATTTTTGGAACGAACGGAACGAGCCTTGCTTCGGGAACGGATTTACCAAAGAAGGAAAGACCTAGCAGCTATGGATAAGGATATTCTATCGATAAACCAAAGGTTATCCAACAGCATGCATTGGAGTCACTGGGACAAAATTGACCGAATGACGTATGACGTGATGGAAGCCACCCTAGCAAAAACAACCAAGAAACTGGTAAATAAGTTTGAGTCCTTGAAACCATTGAACACTGCGAAACCCACAGGCAATGATCGCACAGTTGTCAACCTGACCCAATGCGTTCTAACGAATTCGGAAACCAATGTTCTAAGAAAAGGAGGCAATTTTGCAATAACACCGTAAGACCTGCTATTCGAAGGAATCATAGCAAATGTGGAAGCCAGCATACGCACATTACCTCAAACCACTGTGGAGGAAATACGCAATGAAACATCTAGGAATCTACGACTAGCGAAACCTCCAAAGTGCAACCTGACATACGAGGAAATGAAAGCTATTCGCAGCCTGAATACAGACAAGAATATACTAGTCCTGCCTGCGGATAAAGGAAACGCAACAGTAATCATGAACGTGACTGACTATGAATCAATAATTTCCGAACTGCTAGACCCCTCCACCTACAGAAAGCTGAAGCACAATCCCACTGCTTCTATATTGCGAAAAACCAATCAACTCGTCCAAGCGCTACCGTTGGATCCAGAAAACATAAGGAAACTCATCAAATCTGAGGCCTTACCACCTAGAATATATGGGTTTCCTAAGATTCACAAAACAGGTAACCTAATCAGACCCATTATAAGTGCAATAGATTCGCCTACATACAGCATATCCCACCACCCTACTTCAGCCACGGATTGGCCAATCTAGCTCTTATGTCAAGGACTCAACTCATTTCATCAAAAAGATCAGTGATATCACTCTATTACCAAACGACATTCTGGTTAGTTTTGATATCGTCTCATTGTTTACCAGGTACCAGTGAATCAGGCTTTAGAGTATCTGAAAGATGTTTTTTCGGAGGAAATCAACAACTTATTTCACCACTGTCTGACGACTACGTACTTTCAATGGCAAAATGAATTCTTTGAGCAGCAGATGGAGTCGCAATGGGGAGTCCACTCAGCCGAGTTATCGCCAACTTCTACATGGAACACTTCGAACAAATAGCACTACGAACGGCCACAAAGAAACCTACTTGTTGGTTTCGCTATGTAGATGATACATTTGTTGTTTGGAAACATGAT